AAATTATACCTGCCTTAAAAGGGATTTTAGCCAAATTTAATGAGAATCTGGACACCAAATTCGTTAATACGGTTTAAGGAGATTCGAATTAAATAATAATCCATTACATTTCTTTCTAGTGAGTAGACAGGAATTGTGGAATGCACCGAATGGCGCTTTCAGTCCTATTATAACCAAACAAGCACAAAACGCCGGAAAGCTAACAAGGACAACGATTGCTTGGATCAGCAGTGTGATCAATTTGCTGTGACTTCAATCATTGGGCGCATGTACAACAAATGGCATCGCCTACTCGCGATAAGGAGTACCACGCCATTCTCTACGAGACCAACATAGAATAAAGTCTCTATGTATGAATCGTCAAAGTTCAAACGGGTTTCAAATAACTGTACATACATTGAATATCTGTCACATCTACAGTGGTGGTGTAGATAATAAGAGATTGCAGGACAATACAGTCATTGTTAAAGTACGATTTACGATCAATAAAAGTGGCTGACATCCGTAAACATATTATACTCTCAATGTACTTAAGGCTTAATCAAGAAAAATAAGGAGTTGCATAAGTTTGACAAAGACAATCAGAAAAGCAGGCGAACAGAAGATTTATATAGATAACTGTAAGACCCGGAAAGATCGAGGCGTCTAGTAATCGAAAACAGGGCAATATTGTGTAATAAATACTTATAATTCTCCTAGGCATTTGTGCGTAATAAAAATAAGAAATGACAAAGTGAAGAAAAGATTTATTATTGTGAAGTGCTGAAAAGTTCCGATTGCAAACTTTAAACAAATATGGATGTGATTATATAACATATGAAGTTGAAATCATCAATAACAGACACGACACAAAGTTAAGTACAAATGCCTTACACAACGACATAATGAAGGACGGTTGGAAATCTAGACTAGTCAGGATATTCTTACTATCTGAAGTTATAAAATAAACAAAGAATTGCTAAAGCCATCTATCCATTTTTTTGAATTTTCAACGCTATAGTGATCTTACACAGATCAATATAATTGAGTAAATTGAACTATCCAGAACAAGTTAATACCTCTAAAGAAAAGATTGTGCAAGCATTTAAGATAGCTAATCACCCAGAAGGAAATATAGGGATAAGTAAAAATTTAACGAGATAAAATTAAATATATTTAAAGGAAATATCGACAGCATGTATCCAATAACAAGGACTAAAGGATATCTATTTAGTTTGACCCTTTAATGAGAAATCCTTAAACTATGACCAAAAAACGAAAAATAGGACATCATTAAGAATAAAATTGACATGTACGAGGACCGAACTGACGTCAACGATGCAATAAAACCAACTAATCTGGAACAGCCAGTGGCAAAATTTTAAGCGCATTAATGTTGGGATTTCCCCTTTTAAGAGAGGAAATACAAAAATATATGACATCGAATCCCTATGAAATGATAGTTGTATCTAAGGCTAGGAGAAACCAGCACCGTTGCAAATGCTATTAGACTTATGTATATATATATATATAAGTATGCGTGAATATATAGATAAGAGATAAAAATCAGCATGGAAGGGGAAACTGGTCAGTGGGCTACACAAAGATAGGAACCATTGACTGACAAATAAATTGTATAATTTTAAAGTTTACTATTATGAGGATCTACTATGTTGACAAAGCGGAACCAAGAGCAGAGGATATTTGATCTTTATGATAATCGAAAGCCTACTTACAAACGTTAAATTGTATCCTTGTATTACTCTTTGTTTTCAAATGCATAAATGTGGATAGTCCCATTACGTATATTATTAGACCAAATAAATAAAAACACACAGGTATAGATATAATATTATTACAATTGCACTGGTTTAAATAATCAAATTAGCTACAATTAGCATCGTATAAGGGTCCAATGTAATTTACCCTTGTATCGCGTCTCGAAATGGGAAATACAAAAAAACGCGCTTCCAAGTTCGCCACTGGTTATCCCTGATAGCCATGCATTGTTAACACCACTTCGGTCCCTATTCAAGTCTACCTTAGCCCGACTTGTCGATATCTTATTCCTTGATATTTCAGGTGATAGATTTTGATGATTCCCCGACACAGGACTAAACTAAATATATTTAATTCCTCACATCGATATGGAGATCATAATATTGGCCAATCATATAACGATTTATCTTATAATTTTTTGAACCTATATCTGCTTACCGTTGCTTCCTTTGGATTAATATATTATGTCTGCGCATTTCTCCCTTCGATTTAGGCAATTAACGCCATTGGGATATTTACAGAATTCGAATTTACCCAATCATATAGTATGATCTGATTAGATTTGAATATTCCTCTTATGGACAGAATAGCTTGAATAACCCTACACTCATTTTAAACACTAAATCGTAAGATTATCCTGGCTAGTCTAGATTTTCAACCGCCCTCCATTCTATCGTAATGTAAAGCGCTCGCACCTAAATTCCTAACATGCCTGGCCTTGATGTCTTCAACTTCATATTTTTTACAACCGCGTCCTTCATTTTTGTACCGTTTGCCATCAGAACCTTTCAGTATTCCACGCATGCGATGATGAAGTGGTAAATGATTCACTAGTCTCAGATATCATATCCGAAAATTTCCCGTACTGAGCATCATCGGGTGATTAAGGTGGGATGACGGAAGTCCTCGTAGAGCCAAGGATAGCTGAACGAGCAGGAGTACGGGGCTGCTTATCAACAGCCCAGCCAGTGAGCCGCCATCGTCGGAGGCGTTCGAAAGAAGCGTCTATTAGACGAATCTCAGTCGCAACCTTAAAAAGGACAAAAAGAATAAAATAAGACATCCTTATGCCTGTTATAATCTGACGTATAACACAGGATACCTGACCTGAGACCGCTCAGGATGAAAGAAGATAGTACAGGGGCTACGTAAATTAAAAATACGTACAGAGCTATGCGAGTAGAATAATTTCAATTTGTGTGTTCAAAAATAATCAGGGGAGAAGCAGAATGAGGGGAACCGGGCAACCAAGACGCTATATTGCGTAGTATAGCTAGCATGAAGATGCACTACGGTCAGATGCTAGATAGAGGATAAAGGTGAAGACGCGGTGTCAGTTCGAGACCGCTCCAGACAAGCCCACTTTGTTGAAGGGAAGCAAATGAAGTTTTGCAGACGCTGAAATGATGACGTTTAAATCTCGAATGTTTATAAGTGGTGCCTTCCTTATAGGAAGATCCGACCGACTTTAAAGTGATATATATACTAGTGTCAAGAAGCTGAACATGAAGAAGTGGTACACGGCATAAGCGTCGCGCAAAAACGTTCACCGAAAGAAGGGACTAATCAAGTCACTCGATTATATAGGGGAGCTCTTGGTTTTCGAAGCCAAACAACGGGACCAACGACATGTCTGTTGAGGTAAGAAACTGTTATAGAAGCCCACAGAAGTCAGCGATGTAGAACATTTGATTTGCGCCAGCGGACATATCTGCCTCGAAGAAAACGAACACAAAAAAATCGATCAAGCAAGAATGCTTTTGTATATAAAAACTGGGTTTCGAAGAATCCATTAATAGATTCGTGTTGGAGTATGCTTCATTTCGTTGAAAGAGGCGAGTAGAAGATATTCGTAACCTGATTTCTCCAGAGGATATAGGATGGTTGTCTTGGAGCTGTGGTTGTAGATTTCTGCCAATAGATCCTCAAGGCATCGCCCTGCGACCGCGATAAATCCTTGCTGAGCTTTCGTCCGTCATGTGACGGACATTGTCAGAACAGGAGATCATGGCTAACGATAATTCATCAAAAACACGAAGATAAGAAAGATGGCCGGCTCCACTTATGCATCTCGAGTTTTGGTTGGATTTCCTATGATTTGCCTCTATATTTTCTCATAAGTTAAGTGGCTTCGAATGACATGTGAAATGGCTACAGATGAAGTGTGAAATGGGTGCAAATGAAACAGAACAGCAGCACCCTCCCCTAAAACACTTATGACTTTGGTCCTGCAATGTTACCGCATGTCATTGCGCCCCATTGTACATGTGCTGTGTGAATACATTGCTCTTGAAATGGGTGTCAAATGTAAGTCAAAACCAAATTCCAGCCTAATCAGGATGTGTATAGGAAAACAAAAAATGCAAGTTTTCTTTTGAATTTCTTCTCCAACCATACCTATTGGGTTAAAGTAGGAGTTATGAAGTCTATGATAATAAGAAGTCTGGGTCTGGCAAATGTTAAACATCGGGAAAAGGAAATGAGGAGACTAAGGCGAATTCTGATTGAGAATAA